TAAATAATAATTTGTTATTGTAAGTTTGAGACATGAGCCTTTGAATCTATTCTGTTCGGATTCTAATTACCAAATTTAGATTTTTATTACTTCATTGTGCTTAAAGAGAAAAGCATTTAGAAAAACACTTTCATAAAGTAATAACACTACCTCTGGTGTTTAATACAAGAATCATTTCACTAATTTGAGAGAGTTAAAAAAAAATTAAAAAATTACTTAATTTAAACGTATGTTATATTATCTCTTTAAAATATTTATATGTATCATTAGATAATATTATCTCAAGCCTATAATATAAGAACTAGTTAACTAATTTGAATAGATTAATAAAATTAGTTAAATTAGTTATTTGTAATAAATAAATGTTTTTTCTAAAATATAATTGTTAATCATATTTATTAATTAGAACTATTATTTAATAAAATATTTAACATGTCAATACCATAAGGACTATCTTGAAAAATCTATAAATATAAAAAATAAAATAAATTAAAATCTTATATTTAAGATTAAATTAAAAATGAAATTAACTATTAAAAACTGGCGATACTGTATTAGTTTAAGAGAGTACAATTAGCTCGAAAAAATGATAATATAATACTTTAAGTTGTCACTTCAGTATGTCCCCATCATGCTTTTCCGTCACTTCGGGCGTTTCCCTTGGCAAAAGAAGGGGAGGTTGGTGGAAATTCCTCTATATTCTGCAAAATGATGATGAGGATGATATGTTTCTTCTTTTTTTTTTTTTTTAAAAGCATGTGTCATTCGTTCCCGACCACCATTTTTGTTTTTGTTTTGACCATTTGACTTTCACTTAGAAATATTAGCACGAGAATTTAGGTCTGAGTGCTAAATTTATAAAAAAAATTTAGGTACTATAATTTATTTATTTATAAGGACTTAATGTGAAATTATTCTGAAGGACTATGCTCCTTCTCTGGCCCGCAGTATAATCCAACATGACATTTGTTGAACTTTGGGCCATAGATCTCCACGGATTTAATTTAAGGCCTCCAGTGCTCGGAACGCTTCCTATATTTTCAGAAACTAGGATTTGACAGTTAAAGCCATGTCCACAAATTTAATTAACGACATAGATACCGGTCTTTTTAAGGCGGCGAGTGGCGACATAAATACAAATGTCAATTTAGTCCAAGTAATTTTTTTTGAAACGTAATTATTATTACCCACACATCCCATTTTTAATATTTATCTTAGAGAATTTTTTGCATACACGTAACTTAACACACAAGCAAATCCCTATAATCATTTTTTTATTAAAAAAAAGCTCTTTCATACTTTACGAGGTATCTTGTACAGTATAAAATTACTTAAAATAAGCTAGTCCAAACACCACACATAACCCAGTTGAACTATACTCAAGTACGTATACGTAGTTTACACAATAAATTATTTTTCGAAATATAAGTATCGGAACATGGAAGCTTTTCCTTCAAATATTATTTCAAGCAACCTAAAAAAATTAATGTAGTCACTTTCATTATTGCAGCTAACCAACAGGAATGACAGCTCTCGCAAACGACCAGACTCTGTCTAAATAATAAAAATTTTCTACGTCAAAATTTGCAAGAGCATCATAACAATGTATAATCCGATTAAAAAGCAAACAACATGAATGCCTCTTGGTATTTTAAAGACTCAATTGTGTGCTAGACAAAGTCTCTCCTGTCCAAAAATTATTCCAGAAGAAAAAATGGCAAGCTTACGATCAATGATGGTCCTCATCTTCGCCATGTCCATCTGGTGGCCCACCGGGTCCGACCACTTCAAGCTGTCAAAAGGTGAGGTTGAAAAATCAGTGTCGTTCCGTTGTATAATTTCCCCTTATAAAGTAATATGTCTACATGTTGTGACAATCGAGAAGTCCCTCAATTCCATATTAAGTGATCAAGAATGTCTGATAATTCTTGCTGGAATAAGAATCACATTAAACAGAGATAGAACAACATACATGCAGACATGCTGAAGCTGATCCTATGAGAATTACTATTGTAGAATGTTAGATCACTTTTGGAAACTTGGGAAAATACATGAAAAGGGAAAGATGCCCTGTGTTGGTCGGAACGGTCACCCATTTTGGAGAGAGAAATAGAGAAGTAGGGCAGCTATAGGGTTGCTATAGTCAAAGTCAATGAGAGGGTTAAGTTGAGGGCTGAGAGGGTCACTTTTTGGGGTCTTTAAATCCTCTCACTAGTCCAGAGAGAGGGTCTGGAGAATTTTGAAATGTGGCTTTTGGGTGGAGAGTGCAAACCTCTCAGAAGCTGGCAAACCTGTTCTGTTTTAGAGAGTATGCAGTGTCCATATGTTGTGACTTGTATCGTTGTTTCTGTTGGGTGGTAATCTGAACTTGTATTTCATTTGTGTGACTGTGCATGTATCAGAGCAGTGTTTAATTTCTGACTGTCATGTGTTTTAGCTCTTATTTTTATCTTCAAGTGTAGACCTGTTCTTAATACAGTATGAGTTCAGAAGTTTTTGCTCAAGGATCCCAACAGAGAATCAAAAACTTGGCAGCCAAAAAGTAATCAGATAGTGGAGATGTTAGTTAGATAAACTCTATCTAAATACAAATTTCATGAGAGCAGCCTTAATATATGCAATTCATGACAAGCGGGGCTCTTGATACTAAAACAGTACAAGTGCCTGCAAACAGGTGGGTAATTCTAAATCTACAAACTTTGCATACCTATACATGTTAAGTCAAAAGGGGGTAAAAATTGAACATATAGTGGATGGAACTCTCAACTTACCACAAAGTACTGCGTGCACACTGGACATTCATGTGGTTTGCCTTTCTCCAGCCAAAACCAGACAACATCATGCTCATCCTCTGCAGTAAAAAAGTCGTTCACCTCAATGTCATCGCTAAAGTATGATCATTTTCATTGACTTGTGAAGAAACTCGCACACAATAAGACATATCTAAAGACAAGGAGTACCCACCGCCTTCACCTCCAGGGCATCCGACTATCCTTTTGTCATAGTATGACTTAACAACAGCAGGTGCTTCCTATAAAGCAACATACAATGAGATTAATATAGATATTAGATAGAACATGTTTACAGCATAGAACTAAATATTACAGGGGGGAAAGTGAATGAGAACCCAAAATAAATAGAATGCAACCTTTGCACTCAGGCAAGTTTTTTTTTTTTTTTTTCCCTCAAGGGAAAAAAAATTATAAAGAAGGAATCATGAATCGTACATCTGCAAGCTAGGTCAATCAAATAAACAATGAATGTTATCAAGCTTAAAAGTGACAAGTAGAATAGAGGAACAGAAAGACATAAATAGAAAATAGTACTTAGAGTCCAACTGAGACAAAATGGAAGAAGTAAATGGACACTTTAATAAGGATGAAGATGATTTTCCCTCCCCAAATCCATATCACAATGCAACAACTCTATTTTATGTTTATAATTTTTGCTTGGTTTTCCAACCTTCTGCTCATTATTCATCTTCTCAATTAAACATAGTAGAGATCCTCGTACTCCGTTTTATTTTACAAAGGCATAATTGTGTCTAAATTGCTTTGAAATTCGAAAGAAGATCATACTGATGTTATAAGCAGTTTAGATTCCAGAATCAGTAAATATCTGTATTTTAATCCATTCATTGTAAATTCCTTTATTTTTCATTCCACTTCCCGGTATTCCATACATCCAAATGAACATATTAGCATGCATTTTCAATACTAAGATCACTCAAAGTTAGTTACTTGAACTAATGCGGGGTTGAAGAGCTAAAAGTTGACAGTATTTATTTAATTAAGGATGCCTTGATTTGCATATCAAATATCACATCTTGATAAAATTAAATAGGAACTAATAGGTTTCAATACACAATGTTAAGGTATTCTGACAGTTTTGTTTTATTTCCTCAAGTGTTATTCTGGCCCCAAAATGAGCAACCACACGCAACTATATTAGAAGACTAACCTTTGTACCAAAAGGACCTTCAGGATAGTTTATATCAAGAAGCTGTTTTCCCTGACAGAAGGAAACAATTACGAAATATGAAACATCCTTCAAATACCAAAATTACTCACTCCAAGCCAAGACAATGATCCAGCACGATCAACAGAGAATCGTGAGAGTAGTCACCTGAAGCTCTGCCTCAATCTCCTCACGCTCATGGCCAGTAGCAATAGGCATTACCTCCTCAACCGTCCTTCTGATCGCAGCATCCGCTATTTTATTGTGACAGAAAGAAAATAAAACAACGCATTATGTCAATTAAAGGATAGGTCACGAAAGAAATCATCAGGATAAAAGAAAAGAGATTACCGGAACTAAAATGTCGAGGAAGAACAGAAGAGGAGCCATCAAACGTGTTGAATCCGAATCGAGAGGGCCCAGAAACAGATCGGGAAGCTGAGGAGGAGGAAAGCGTGGCTAGCGATTTGAGCTGAGAAGAGAAAATTCTTCGCCACATCGTTGAGTCACGCCGATCCCAACCAAATCCAGCACCGAAATGGTTAAAAAACGAGAGGAACGCTTTCTTTTCTTTCTCTTTGGAAACACAAGCGGGGTCGAGTCCCAACGGTGCGCCTGGCTTTGGGTTTGAGAGCGAGGGGGGACTTGCACAAGAGGCAAGTCCCTGTTCGCTTGCCACGTGGTGAGGACCACCGCACGTGCTGGATTCCAAGCTTGACCGGCGGAGAGTCGGCCTAAACTTGATTAGGCCCGAACTATATTTAGCAAAAAGGCCTGTTAACGTATTCTGACCCAAAAAACTAAAAACTACTTCCTCTTCCGATGCTTAATATAACAGCTAGTTAACTAATTTGAGTATATTAAAAAAATTAATTAATTTAATTATTTATGATAAATGTATATTTAAAATATCTTTCCAATAAGGTGTATTAGCTAGAATTATCATCTCTACAAGAACTATCTCAGAAAAAATAGATAAATATAAGAAACAAAATAGATTATGATTTTATATTTAGGACCAGAATAAAATTCAAAATAGCTCTTATATTAAGGACCATATGTAGTATTAATTAATAGTATTATATAAGGAAATAAATACTCTTCCGATCCTTAAGATAAGACTTATTTAATTAATTAGATTAAATTAAAAAAGTTAGATAAGTTAATCAATTATAAAGAATATGATATGTTTTTACTAAAATCAATAATATTCCTTAAACTTTCTCCCTCCCTCTCCTACTTGATTATGGTTGAGAGAGTATTAATAGAGGTAATATAAAAAAAATTGATAAATATGAGAAATATATCTTATATTTAATACCAAAATTAAGTCAACAATTAAGTTCTATATTAAGAATCGAATAGTATTATTTATATGGATCACATATATATATATATATATATATAAATGAAAGGTGATGAAATGAACATTGCATAATTATCTAATCATGTGAATTTTCATTACTGGATTCAAAATTTTTCATTTCATGTGGATAATAGATTTTAATTTTCCTTCTTTAATTCTTTTTTCCTCCAAGAATTAACCATATAAAATCAAAAGCTAGTAGTAAACATACGAGAAATTTAACACCTGTCTTAATTTATATAAACGAGGTAAATTAGTTATCTATAAAAAAACTATTCCATAATTTTTTTAAAAAACAATATTGTTGCACTTAGATTGTTATTGTATTTTATTATTGTTTTGAGGGAACCAGTAGTAGTAATTTGAGGAAAAAAAATAAATATGAAAAATAAAATAACTTGAAGTTTTATACTTTATAGCAAGTTAAATCCTCCATCTAATTAATCACTTCATTATCTAAGATACAGGGAAACAAAGTAATCATATCCGAGTATTGGCCAAAATACTAATAATTTTCGAACCTCATGGCATTCAATTCAATTCCACCGAAAAGGCCTACATAAATCCAGATCAACACGAAACTTGACCACTCTCTCAACACCACCGCACACACCATTGCATGGCTCCTATTATTACCACAATCCCTTATGCAGGCCGCAGCTAGTGGATCCAGAAACATGTGTAATTTTGGTTCTATCTCTCTGCAAAGAGATAACTAATTAATTGCCTGGCATGGACGGCTTCATTTTTCTCTCTCTTAGCCAAGTCTTGTTGATGCTTCACTCACAAGTTTTGACAGTCTAATGACATAAAAGCTCTTCTACAACTAGAAAGTTGCAACTTCGATCATGCTTTTACAATGTCAAGTTATTAGTGCCTGATGATCTAATTTTCTTTTTAAAAAAAAAAAAAACAAGAAGAAGCTGGCATGTAAAATTTAGTGATGCATGGTACAAGATGGAATTTTCAAGCCCGTCTAGGATAACGAACGCTGAGCAATCTGATATCATCAATCACTGGCCCGCACAAAGAACCAGAGTTATCATTCTTCATGGTGTAAAACGAACTGAAGAACATGATACGCGTACGTGGCGACACTGCTTTGAATCGGAGCTTCCCTCGAACGAATCCTCCTTTGCCTTTAGATTCATACGGCACCTTCACTGTGTCTCTGCCTGCGAATGCCTCTACCACCATTGATCCTTCGCACTTGTTACTGGCGTCACCCACGGCGAACGTCAGGTCGTACACCTTTCCGACGATGGTTCGGACCACTTGTGCGATGGCGCTTTCTCTTCCGGCCACGATTTCGATGGCTCTTTTTCCTTCCGGCACCGAGAAGTGGTCGGAATCGATGTATTTTACGGCTTTGAGAGATTCGACGATCCATCCTGGTAAAGGACTGTGAGCGTCCTCGATGTGAGGCGGAATTAGAACTCCCCATGTTGTATTGGGCAAGATCAAGGGGCCCTCCTCAAAGTTCCCGTTTTTCAACAGATTCGCTGCACTCCAATGCAAAACAGACCACTTAGACGACGTCGTTTTGAGGGCATGCATTAAATCTCACGTGTATTAAAATTTGCATCTGTCCACTTGTATTATGTATGATTAATACACCTTTTTAGTAGTAACCTAATTAACATAGATTTAAAATATTAGTTAAATTACTTAATGTGATATAAAATACCATAAGTTTTTTTAATTCCTTCCTTCCTTCTTTACTAGCTATTTGATTACTGGTGGAAAATATCAAATATGTTAATTTGGGAAAACACTGATAAATATGTGAAATAAGTCTTACATATATGACTAATATTAAACTTTTAATTAGGTTCTACGTTAAGGATTAGAGGAAATTTTTCATTTTGTTTGTTTGGACTTATATCAATTTATTTAAGTTGGTGAATTTGTAGTTAGTTATAATTGCATCCAAATTTGTGTTAATTTATCAACAGTCTATATGATGGACTTTTTGAGTTCACTGCTCGCACAATTTATGAACCTATGACTTGACTTGTTAATTAAAGTCTCAACTAGAAGAAAAGTATATTTACCCAACTCAACCCTTAAATTCGGTAAGTTAACTTATAAGCCACCTCAACACATATATTTTAATTAAGGTTTATTAATTTATTATCTTGTCTGTTATTCTTTTGCCAGCTTTTTTGGACATGCATCAAAGGTGTGCATGTGTGTCATGTGTCAAACAGTGTGTCCTCACATGTTTGAATTTACTATGTATGCCTTGATCTAAATGTCATCGGATTTTCTAGGTCACAGATATTATATCTTTATATTTCTAATTTTGTTTCCCCTCTAGCATATACTTGGAGGGAAAAAAACGTAATTGCCAAAGAAAGATCAGATATACCTGAGGTTCTCCTTGGAAGGTAAAGAAGCTTCAAAGCAACGGAATCAATAAGCGGGCCACAAGCCGGGTCCTCCTCGACTCCCGGGTTGTGGATCACGATTTCCAGTTCCGGATAGTCCGCTCGGAACCCGCACGAGAAAGACTCGCACCCGTTGCTACCGTACATAGTCTGAATCGGAATCACTCCCCAGTCCGCCTTCTCTGTCGTTGGCACCACCGAGATGTTGAGCTTCTCCTCCTGCGCGCACGTCCTTGACGCGCTGAACGTTAGCGAGTAGAAGCCACCCTTCACCAGCTTCACTTTCTGTTTGATATAAGCTTCGTTGCCGAGCCTGACGGCGTGGGATCCCTCCGGCACCACCAGCACCATGTCGCCTTGCTTCTGGCCGGATTTGATGTACTCGACGAAACCCTGCGTCGTCCAGTTGGGGATTGCATCGTTGCCCACTACCACCGACCCTTTCAGTTGCGATGGCCTTGGGCCTTTCTCGAAGTTACCATTCGGCAATAAACCTGCAATATTTTTTCGTTTGTTAGAATATATGCTCTTAACAAATTAGATAAAAATATGATATTGATACTCTGCTGATAAATGCAGAGAAAATAAATAAAATATACCGGGTGAGTTTGCTATTTTTTAAAAGATTTTAAAAAAAATAAACCCCTTATTTTAAACTGTATTTCCGCGGCTTCTATTTTGTTATCAAATAGTTTAATTTTTTTTAATATCATCAATGATGGAATGTAAAATGTGGTTGAAATTATTCATTTTTCAGATATTGAATTTGGAAAAAAATGAGCGCTGAGTTATATAAATGGTATAATTTGTTTTTTATTGTTTACATGTAATAAGCTAGCTAGAAAGAAGGAGAGTATAATTTCTTCTCCTGTTGGTCATATATGGGCACGTGTCTTTTGCTTGCTCTATATTTGATTTTTGCAAAGTGTTTAATTATTGAAAGTTTTATTAGGAAAAGCTAATCTAACGGAAGCAGAAAAGGTTTCAGAGAAGAATAAAGATAACATTCCAAAGATAACTTAGAAGCCCCGAAACAGCCAGTCAAACAATATTGAAAATATCGCAAATTAAATTAATAAGGGAGGGGATCTTTGGGAACTCATAAAATAATATCTAAAAAAGTTAAAAATATTATAATGATAATAATATGCATAAATATGGGTAAAGATATAAGGAACGTGCAGACGTTGCAGGGCGCACATGGATAAGTCACATGCAAGTAAGTAAAAAGAAGCGTATTGTTGACGTCTTTCGAGAAGCTTGCATCATGCCATGTCATTTGAACTATTATCTCTAATTCTTAATATAATAATTAATTAAAAATTTATTTTATTCTAAATATAAGATATCAATTCATTTTGTATCTCATTTATTTTCTCAAAATACTCCTATTACTTGTAAATGGTTCCTACTAATTCATAATTTTGATTATTCAATACATATGATGGAAGAGATAGTTTAGAAAGATCAACACACAATTATAATAAATAACCAACTTAACTATTTTTTTTAATATTATCAAATTAGTTATCTAACTACTCTTCCAGTCCTTAATATAAGACCCAGTTATTGAGTTGATTTTGATCCTAAATATAAGACTTATTTCTCATATTTATTAATTTCTTTAAATTATCCCTATGGATATTCCGTCAACCATAATCAAGTAGAAGAGGAAGATGGGATATTAAGAAAGATGATTATGGTATTTTAAGAAAAACGTGTCATATTTCTTATAATTAACTAACTTACCTAACTTCCTTAATCTAATTAAATTAATTAAATAAGTCTTATATTAAGGACCGGAAGAGTATTATATTAAAAAGCAGAGATAGCATACTATTGCTATAAACAGCATGTGTAATATTGGAATGCGAATCATCATTCTCCATGGAAGAATTAATTGAGTAGCAGTTATAATTAAACAAACACCTGTTATATGATCAGTGCCGCGTAGGATAAGTAATTATATATACTAATTGACTTACGTCATAATTAGATGGAAATATGAGATTTTAAAGTGCTTTTTTCTTACACAAATATGTTCGTGACATGAGATGATCCACCTCTCGCATCAGAATTGTCAATGACCTTGTAGTTTAAAAGGCGTGTAATAAAGTTAAATTCTCAGTGCGTGTTCCTCTAATTCAACAAGATAATTATAGGAGATGAGAAAATTTAAAATTTCGCTTGATTAACATTGGGAGCCAATCAGGTAATTAAGAGTTTATAATAAGAAATAAATCTCACATCAGATGAAACTGGGCTAAATATATAGGTGAATATTTTTGGTGAAAAAACCTATATATAAGTTGATTGATGCTGGAATTTATTAAGTTACAGTACAGTTTCGTATTATGAGGGAGTCGAATATTTCTGGGGGATCATACGATATAGTTGAAAGCGCAGATACAAGTGGTGATTATATTCATAACCAGACACTTACAACTATGTATGATTCGGAAAGAGAGAGATGCGAAGAGCTTACCGTCAGAGAGAGACAAAACGGCGTCGTAGCTTGCTGAGAAGAATAATACTAACAACAATGCTTGGAGCTTCTGCATTTTAGAGAGGGGGGTGGGGGGGAGGGAAGCGAAGTGGGAGAGGTCGCGATCCAAGAAGGGGAGAGAGGAGGGGCTTTTATTGGAAAAGACTGGAACAGTTGCCCCTGACTTTAGGGGAATATTACATGAATGCCACTGCAAATATCTTCCCGTACAAATGGAAAAACACATAGTAATAATAATATAGTGGTGATTATAATGATAGGGCGGGGGTCACAAGTGTCACAGACTCGTAGCAGGGCCAAAATTTATATTTTATTTGCAGTATTTTGGTGAGTAACGAGATTGACACTAACCTTTGTCCTTCCTCCATTCTTACAAAATATTCCATCCAATTCAGAATACAAGTTAAATTTTATGGAGCGACTTACTTTTTTTTTTATAAGATATTATTTATTTTTGTCTAAATATTTAATGATTTTTTTAATTTTACTCTCATATATTTTCTATTCTTCTTTAATTCATTTATTGCCTTTTACTCATTCTCTTCATTAATAAGAGCATATTTTTTAAAAAATATATGTTTTATATATTTATTGTTTTAAACTAATGTTAACTAATTTCTTGATAAGCATAAATAGATAAAATTTATCTTACATTTTAAACTGGAATGATTACTCTCCCCTGTTCCTATTAAAACAAAGATAGAAGATATTTTTTAACCTTAAAGTACTAAGAAAATTTTTTTTATACAGATGTACAATTTTACCCTTTACTTATTATTGTATTGATTTTGTTTACATAAGGTATAATGTATATTAAATAGAAATAAAGTTCGAAAGCTATTGAATTTTAAATGAGAGTTAATAAAGTTTAAAATTTTTCTTAGTATGTGCGAAATATGATGAAAGTGACTTATAAATAATGTTAAAAGAGTACAAACTAAATATTAGTTGGCCATAACTTAAAGTGATCCCATTGTAGGAGGGGGTGAAACATGAAATTTTAGAGCTAACATTGTAAAAAAGACAATATTCATGTGAAGTTGTTTATATTTATCATGTCAAGTTCTCCAACTATATATGATCATGTATCTTATTTTTAATATATTAATATTTAACAATATTTGGTTATAAGTTCACATAAAATAAAAATGCGCCATGTATAATTAGAAAACTTAACAAAAACATAATAAATATAATGCACGCGCATAAAAAAAGGGGAGAGTTGTGAGTTTGCTTGAAAATTGAGGCAGCGATTTGGAAGCATATAGACAATCCATTCAAAGCCACATGTTGTCTCAAATCCCCAAGTATCTTCCATTGTCGCTTTCTGGCCTCCTCTATTATTAATGCCTCCTCCTTTTATTCATAACAAATAAATAACTCAATCACACCGATTAAATTATTCCATTTTAATTGATACAATGCAATTTAGTAATTTATACTTGATATTTAATTTTCCTCAAAATACTCATACATTTCTCATTATAGCCGTGTATTAATTACACTAATTTAATTAGTGACTGTTAAACAAAAATTTTTAATTAAGAGTGTAGTTAATGATTTCAAAAAGTGATTCATTTACACGTATGCAAGGAGTATTATATGTAATCTTCTTCGGTATTTATAGTCAAACTTCTTTGTAGTTTCACGGTGTTTTATATATACACGTATGTGTGTGTGTGGTTTTCTGCGCTTGATGCCATGTTCCTCTTGATCCAGCTAGAGAGACAAAGATCACTTATTCGGTGCAGGTTATATCTGTGTTATATCAAACTAATAAACTATATTTTAAGTAAACTCATCATGTGTCTTCGGGTCTTGCTGTTGCATGAAGTTTAATGACCAGGCTATTCCTGTTTTAATAATTCTATATTTTATATAGATTATAATTTATATTAATGTTGATTTATTATTTGAAAATTCACTATTTGAGTTAATATTTTCAAACTCGAATCAACTCGTCAATTTTTTGAGGTGTGAAACCTTGATCATTACCATAACATTTGAAATAACTACTAACTAACAAGGAAAAATTATGTTTAAAAAAAAACAATTACGTTATTGGACTACGTACGCAGATAATCTTAAGCTGGGGATCCATCCATAACATAGTATCTAGAGAAAAATTGCAAACAAATTAAAAATCATATATAACCAATCTTTTTTGTGCTGAGGGGGAAAAAAAGAAAAGGGATAGTTTTATTATTTTATATCACTATTGGAGCCTTAATTAGAAAATAAAATTAAAATGTAATATAAAATAAATTTTTGTACACTAACTTCTCGGCTTTTTGGGTCATTTGTTTTTTAGATGACATGATTGATCTCGTTCAACTATGCATGTTTCCAATATCTATTTATTGACAAAATTTGATTTCTTTGAATAAGAAAGGATGGACCAGAATTGACCGACCGCCTATGACCGAAACATGGGAGAAAATGCTGGAAAAGAATCAAATATGTTTAGGAACAGAGAAAAGGGTGGTGGAGGAGAACGTGGATTAGAATCAAAGGGTGTGAGAGAGCATGATTAGTGTTACTTACATGTTTTATATTAAACAAATGTAATGGGAACCATCAGATCTTATCCCAACAAGCCCCATGTGCTCTCTAAAGGAATTTCCAGAAAGTCTGCCTTAATGAATTCAATTAACTCCCAACCATATTACAACATGATCGTTCACTAGCTGGGTGCTTTTGTTTTGTGTTGGGCAATTTCCATTTTTTAATGTTTTAAAGTTTTAAGAAAATATATATCACTCAGGAGAGGTTCTAAATAATTGGATTTTCATGTGCCAATGAGAGGCAACCAACCATTGGCAAGCTTAGCTTTTCATGTTCACAAATGATTCTACTCATTTGCTTCATATTTGATGCGATTAATATCATGCATTGGAAGCAATTCTTAATCATTCAATGAGTATGCTCCCTTATTTGTATGAAATTTAATAAATGAGTTACATTCTCTGATTCTAATATAGGAGTTAATTAATTATGGGATTTATTTTAATATTAGATACAATATTTTAATTCACTTTTGCCTTCTAAATGTATAATTTTTCCCGTAAAATATTCATATTGATTGTACATATTAAGAGAATTTTTGTTATAAAAAAAAAAAGCAGTTCCAAGACAAATGATTGGTACTTAGAAAAATCAATACACATATTTCATAAACAACTAACTTATCTGATTTTTGCTTAATCTCTGCAAGTTAATTATTTAACTCTTATATATCAGGGACTAGAGGGAGTACTATTTATACAATATGAAGAACATAATTTTTTTTACAAATTTTATATTATGTGGTGATTATACAGAATAAATTTTGATTCTATTTATTTATTGATATTGTAAGCAGGTGGTTGAACCGTTGGAGTTCAATTTACAAGGTCTATGTACTAATTAAGTAGACTTAATTAAAAGGTTTAACATTTGTCATTCATTCTACAGAGATTTTTTTTTTTTGCCGTCCATACAATAGAGAAATTAGTCTTTACTCTCCACAATGAGTATTCAAAGTCTTATAAAAATACTACCTCCGAACCTATATATAAACTTCAAATAACTAATTTACGGATAATGAATAATTAGTTAAAATTAGTTAAAAATAATAAATATATCAGAAATATAATCTTATTTTCAAATATGCCTTTACAATAAATGAGAAAAAAGATGACAGAGAATGCGTGGAAAAATATAATAAAAAAATAATTAAGGGCAATATTAAAAAAAATGCATTAAATGTTAAGACAAATCCAAATTAAAACTTCAGTCCAAAAAAAAAAACTCAAATTGAAACTTATAAAATGGACTATATTCCTTTTCAAATTTAAAGCTTATAAATAAGACCTGATGGAGTGCTATTAATGCCCTCTGCTTATGCTAATTATTACTTGAAAATAATAAGGTGAAATTGATCCCTTAGCTTAGAAAGACAAAAAGAAAAAAGAAAAAGATGTTACACGCCCTGAAAAATTATCAAATAATATTACACATGCGCCAACAGTTGTTTTATTGGAAGGGATTTTGGCTGCTCGTCTATAAGGTCTAATTTCGTGTAAATGCGGAAAATGTCTTGAAAGTCGTTACCCCCGTAAGATCCATGGGCCACGTAGTTCAAATGTTGGGCTCCTTCTCGGCCCAAAATAACAAAACGAGCCTTATCTGACATTTCATACCTATAATCATCTTTCCATAGTTTGGCATCTTGGCACACAAATCTCCTTTGAGGGCAAAAAAAGAAGAGTGCAAAAGAAAATGATTCTGCTTTGCCCTTCTACTGAGTTATTTTTATTTTGTTGGGTTAAAGAGTAAATTTACCCATAAAGTATTTTTCCATACACATGTGATATTATAAAGTTTCTTTGAATGTAATAGTGCGCATAAGTTTTTTCAAATAAAGTAAAAATGTCATATCTATTACTTATACCTAACGTTCGTTACTTTAGTGTGATGAACTTATTTAGCATCCAGGCATCATCAAGTAACAGACATTAACTACATTTAACGAACATGGCATTTTTTTTTCTATTTGGAAACATTTACTTGTACTATTGCAGCCAAGAAAACTTATGGTATCAGATATTCATAGAGGAATGTCTCATGGTCATATTTGCACCTTAATCCCCCTTTCTTTAATTTACCGAACTTTGTAGTTTTGGTAAAGATACATCAAACCTACGTAACATTAACATAAAACATAAAATTTACATAGAGAGCAGCACTGTTTACGAGGTGTGAACAATACTTCTCAAGCAAAACCGCAGCCAAACATGAGCAAGTCATCCTCTTGTCTGAATTATCATGACATCCCAAAACTGACTGTATATAACATCAAAACTCGACTATTTTACAGTGCATCGGAACCTGAGTTCCTTCCACCCATAGCTGAGTCATGTCACCATTATTAACAAAAGTGCACAAGCTTTATTTTTCCCCCAAAGATCTTTGCATTAATCTAGGAATCCTATTCGCTCTGGATTTCATCAGGGCACACTTGCAACGCCTTCTCATCACATACAAAAGTAAAAGAAAAGTAAAAGAACAATATGTATGATGTCAGTTTTCTTGTAAGAAATTAAGTGACAGAAATGTATTAATTATAAAATTGTGTGATATAATACCTGTGGATATGCATGTATCTGATCCTCTGATCTGAAGCTAAATGTTTTGACGACCTTCAACTCTCCTCTACCAGTTGTGGCCTCGTCTAATATCTCACCATCACCTATTTCCCTTGATCCCCTACTTGCTGAATCCGCATCCTTAATCAGGAAAAATAATACAGGTTAATTGATTTATACCCATTGGATCCTCACATTTTATTACATGGAGGAGATGTTATGTTATTACAACCACAAGTCTAAAAGTAGAGTCTGTTATGACCCTAAGTCCAAAGGAAAAGCACATTTCAATACACTGGCGTGTTGGCTAGGAAAGCACTTCAAAAGGAGAACCTATCCCCAAAAACTAACCTATTGGGCGGATAAACCTTAAACTTATAGCACTTGTGAGGAAACCAGTAAGAGAAACAGGTTCGATACCTGGGAAGAAGAGAGACGGAAGGAGAGTCTTGGGGTAGCAGCGATTTCTTCATATTCAGCAGCATCAAGTTCCTTTAAATGCTTAGGGCTGAACAGCTTGGGTAGCAGATACTGCCTTATTATGATCAACACAAAGAAAGGCAAAGGAAACAAGATTCCTGCCATGGGAATCCATGTCACTCCAAAGACAACCAACAAATATACAAATTGGAACAGTGTGAAGAACAATATTGCTCTCATTGGTACTGTCTCTACAAACGAAGCATGGTCCCCTTCAAACACCCTATACATCATTTCGAACAAACCAAACTCATTATTAGTTACTCATAATAATATGATTAGTTAATTCTGGTTTCAAACCTTGGAAATTACATAATTATATATACCTGTATCGTCTATTGGGAGATATGAAGATAAATATTATTCTTTCCCAGAACTGATTTCCGGGAAGACTATCAATGGCCATGTAAGCAAAATAACCCCACAGAACTGAAGTGGGTATCTTCTTGATCACAGGCATGGCAAACACAGATCCTCCTACAAGCAATGCTTGCACCAGATTGCTCACCCTTTGCTCGTTCACTCTTATGGGCAGATGTTTGTCAATGTGTTTGGCAGGGTCAAATGTTTCTTTCTCTTCTTCTTTTAGCACAGCATCTTTCAGGTCCTCTAATTCTTTCACCACTGTATTCTGCAAAATATACATACAAAAGCTTCTTTACTAGTTAGCATGGGTTTAATGGGATTATTGGTTAATTATCTAGGTGACTTACAATTGGGCTTTTGTCTATTTCTACAAACACTTGTTGCATGTTTCCATAGATCTCAGAACTGCTTGCTTTGTGCCTCATGCTTTCTTTCACACTTTGCATCATCTTCCTTCGAATCAACTGCAACTCCATATTTAGCCAAAGTGCTTATATATATATATATATATATAGAGTATCAGCGTTAACGTTAATTGAACGTTCATTCACCTGTTTCTTGAGAACAGCAAGGCTTTTGGTGTGCATGGGCGATTGAGGAAGAACTCCATTGGAAGGTGGCAAACCAAGCAACCCACAAAGCAAAGTCTGAAAATTGCTTCACGAGGTCAATGATCGGAGAGCTTCATGACCAAAACACAAGTGATCTTTCATGTAAGAGAGAGATATATAATGATATATATACCATGAATCCTAGAAGCAACACGTCATAATGATAAGCAGAAGGCTTCTTGAGATTGAATTCCTTCTGTTGTGCCATTTGAGAAGCAACGCTATGATCGAAGAAGTAAAGACCCGCAATCATCAATGCAGGGATAATAGCACCAAAAATATATGCAGGTGGAACCTTCCCCATGTCCTGCATATTAATTGAATATTATATCAATATACATTTAAAATATCATCTTTTCTTTTAAGGGCAATATATATATGTTACTTTGATTACTGTCCAATGGTGTAAAGAAGAAGATTCCCAAGCAAGAGGGGCAAAGAGCCTTCTAGGGACTCCAGAGGGAAGTTTGCTTGGTACTGTGAAAGACAAAGCTGTCCACACTACCACCATTAAAGGAACCCCATAGTCTGCCAAGAAACTTCTTAACTTTCCTGTACAAATTACGCAGACCATGTTAGCTTCAGATATAGGTCATCAATTAAGGTCTTAATCAGTGATGCAATTTATTATACTTATTCCTTGACGGCACATATAAAAGACACGTCATAGGCATTGTGGCAATAAATGAAATAGTCAAATAAGATAAGTGAGCATACTTCATAGTCTTTGAGATATAGCATATATTTTCTCTTCTTATTACTTCTCTAGTCTTTAGTCTTTAATGTATGACTTAATTAGAAAATTGATATTGATTCTATATATAAGACCCACATCATATGTCAATTGATATTTCCTCAACAATAGTCAAGTAGGGAAGGAAAAGGAAATTAAAAAATATAATTAGAGTGTTATAGAAAAATATATCATATTAACTAATTTAACTAACATTCTTAATTTACTCAATTTAGTTAATTAGGTCTTATATTAAGTACCAGAGGTGTATATATGTTATTTCACCTACTGCAGTTGGACAATTGATTAGGCATCTCTTACTGGTAAATTAGCAGTTAGAATGTCATAATTCTTGCCTCTTGACTTACACACTCAAGCTAAGGCTTCCCGTAGTTTGAGTAATGCGAGACTTCTTTTTTTTTTTTCTTTCCAGACGCACAAAACTACAACAATTTCAACCACGTGGATTTGACACCATAAAACTAATTGCTTTGTTCAGGAGTAATTTGAAGTGATACATCTTGTTAGTTTAATATAAAAATGTTTGCAACTTCACAGTAACAATAATAACAAACCTTTAATTAAACTTCGAAAAATTCTAAGACGAACTGGCTAACTTAGTTAATGAGAGATAAAAATCACCCATACATATCCTTTTAGAAAATTGATATGATTATTCTTACCATGCAGCCCAAGCCAAGAAGAGTTGTGGCCCCAAATCATCTCTATCTTTAGCAAACTTGTATAAGTAAGTGTACATGATGATAGTGGGTTCTGCAACTCCCAGTATTAACAATGGCTGACCTCCCAGAATTGAGTGTATGATTCCACATATAGCAGTTGAAGCCAGTGCTTCTACTGAAGTCAAGCTTCCATCTTCAAACAAACAAATTAAGGATATTACAAAGATATTTCCATTTTATAAATCTAAGACATGCAAAAAAATCAAAAACTCAGAATAAATTAATAATTAAGCATATCATCCTCAAAGTTTAAAGGCCATAAAAGACGACACAGTTACATATGTAACACAACATGCATAATTCTTTGTCCACTCTTTACAGCTTTTCTTCACTTCTTTTATTGGATCTTCCATGCTAGAATATAATTAATCTTTTGTATACACAAGCAACACACACACACACACACCCACACAAGGCCGGCCGAGGAGGAAGAACCTGTGTCTCTATCGATCTGTTCTCCAAAGGCTATAACAGGAAGAGCAGAAGCAAAGAAAATATAGGTGGTCGGAGCCAATATCCTATCATCATCAGAACCAAAATAAATGAAGATTATTTGTACTATGAACAAGTTTGAACTGAGACATCTTGTGTATATATATCGTTCGATAAATATATATATATATATGTAGTAAGAAAAGTACCCGATTCCTGAACAGATACCAGAAATCCAATCTTCCTTGTAATACTTGCCTCTTCCTCGGATATCACTAACTACACCCTTGAAGGGCGTCTTGAAGTTCTCCATTGTTGTTGCTGAGAGAGAACGACAGAATGAAAGTTTAATAACTCAAAGGGTGGGCCCCTTAAAGATTATAATTTCTATAACGTAGGCACACAAAAAGAGACCAGAGTACGTACGTAGATGATGAATTATTAAATAATATATGGGGAAGAAATTAAACAATTGGAGGAGAGAGAAAATGGGAAGAAGAAGCAGTGAGTCGTTTCTTCTGCAGCAACTTCAATGCTTCATGTGGTCATTATATTTACACGGGGATCATCAGAACCAAAATAAATGAAGATTATTTGTACTATGAACAAGTTTGAACTGGACATCTTGTGTAGTATATATCGTTCGATATATATATATATATATGTGTAAGAAAAGTACCCCCGATTCCTGAACAGATACCAGAAATCCAATCTTCCTTGTAATACTGGTGCTCTTCCTCGGATATCACTACTACACCCTTGAAGGGCGTCTTGAAGTTCTCCATTGTTGTTGCTGAGAGAGAACGACAGAATGAAAGTTTAATAACTCAAAGGGTGGGCCCCTTAAAGATATAATTCTATAACGTAGGCACACAAAAGAGACCAGAGTACGTACGTAGATGATGAATTATTAAGAATATATGGGGAAGAAATTAAACAATTGGAGGAGAGAGAAAATGGGAAGAAGAAGCAGTGAGTCGTCTCTTCTGCAGCAACTTCAATGCTTCATGTGGTCATTATATTTACACGGGAATCAAACATATAAAATGATAATAGTACATCATTTAACTGTTGATCGATTGAAAAATGTTAAGAGGAACAGGCCAAAGAAAAGAAAAATATTAAGACGAAATGTCTTCTTGTGTGGGTGAACCTCAATGCATGCCTCAATACAATCGGTCATTTTATATGGATACAAACATATATAGATGTATTGGATCTCCACCCATTTTATTAAGTAAAAACGTTCAAATATTATTATTTTTAAAATAAAATTTGGATTCAGATCCCATACTCTAAAAAAAATGGATGGGCTAGCGTTTAGATGTAACAAATGATATAAATTGATAGTTGGCTAATAAAATATTCATGGATAAAAATAATAAGAGGAGTAAAATAATACAACGGTTTATTTATAATTATGTTGTGATCCGCTGGGTAAATATATTATAGTTGGACTGTTGGAGACATAAATTAATTGAGCTGTTATTATAATTGAAATATTTATTCATATATTACAAGATTAGGTATTGTGATAACCAATTAACCACTAATTTCATTAAATAATACATCGTAACACTTCAAACTGCTTAAAATAAACATTTTCTCAACTTATATAAGTACGTCAAATAAAAATGGAGTTGACATTTTGACGCAATATACTTCACTAAATTATACGATTAGGTTGCGATAACCACACATAAAAAAAAATCATACATAATTAAACTCCAATTAATTATACGTATATGCTGATATCATCATATGTGTCTAACATCACAAGAGTTGAATTATAATTGAATAAATCTCACTAAATTTGGGGTTAGGTAGAGTGAGGAGATAAGATAACCACCCATTTTGTGAAATGATACGTCACAAGAGTTTAAGTTATACAAAAAACGTATTCTGTATAAGTCCAAATGATGTAGGTTGCTGATTAGCAAAGCTGTGCTACACGTCTATAAAATCAAATAATTAAAATTTGCTTACATCTATGTTTTGAAAAATATACATGTGTGTCTGTGCATATATAAATTAAATTTTTGGGGAAGAGGTGACGGTTCAGTTGTTGTCAGAAGTGATAGGCTGATCGATTGGGTTATCTGCTTTTTTCCCCCTCTTTCTCATTTTCTTCTCCTAATCTCATACCTACTTTTAAATTTTTTTAAAATAGATTATTTAAGTTAAATATTTTATAACATTATTATAAATATAAAGATATAGAATTAAACTGTTAAAATTTTATATGCAAAGTTTCGGTACAGAAAAAAATTTAAAAAAACTCATTTATAAATGATATAATAATACAGTTTTAGTTTTAAAAATATTAATCTGAATTATTCATTTTTTTTCTAAAGATGGAGGATCTGCTTCCAATCAATAGCATGCATGTGTTTGTACGGGATTTTAGCCATCCCCATACTTTTCTTCTTAAAATTATAAGTAGCATTGAATTCATGATTTTTTTAGGTATAAAAAGCTTTCATGCTATTAGACTATAATATTATCAGTTTCTTCATACACAATCTAATCCGTTTATTTGGCTGTTTATTTTTGTAACAGTGTAAGATTGGTAATTCTGAAATTAAATTGCCTTTGTTATTCATTTAATTACAATAATAAAGAAATATTATGATCTTATTTTTTAAAAGGATTTGAGTATAGCAATAATCAATAAAAAAATCTCTGGCCATCAAATCAAATAATTGGATGAGATTGTGTATGAAAGAGAATTATCGATAGAGAGTATGGAGTAGATCCAAATTTGTTACATGGAGAGAAGCAGAAGATGACAAATGGGGTCATAATTTTGAGTTTGTTTCCTATGTTATTACTAAGGAATCGCAAACCAAATTTGCTTCCTATGGTTCCTCGAAACTTCTGTTTTGGAAGCTCTATGAACATGTGGACTCAATTAATTCGGGGCCACAATATTTATCAGCATATTATTTTATGCATGGATTCGTTGTGCCCGTGATATTCCAAGGATAAATTACTTAATAATAATATCTGTCAAGAAAAATTATCATTTAAAAAACAGACAATTTTCTAAGTATATTTTTGAATTAAATTTGTCTCAAATGTATTTTTATAGTTGTATATGACTAGTTCGATTTCTTTATTTGTCATACGTGTATATATATATGGAAAAAAAATAATCTTTTTGATTCTTATTATAATTTTAACTTAGTTGCAAAACTTTAAATGATGTAACTCAGTCCCTATCAAATATATATTTCATGAAACTTTGGGACTACTGTTTATGAATTGAATTACAGTACTAAAAGATTAACTTTCTAAATATATACTCATATATAATTGTGTCCAAAATAATACTCGTAGTTAATTTCATTCACTCTCTGTAATTAAAATTAACAAAGGGAAATTCCAATGGATGCATCATATGCTAAGAAATATATATTATGTATATTCTGGTTAAAAGTGGGATACATTAAACAGTGCCACATTTGGCTTACTGATGTAATTATTTATTTTCATGTTGATGTGTTTTCCCTTATATATTTTGGATGTTATGCTCTTACAGAGATGTAAATCTTATATCACCAAATAAAAAAAGGTAATATCTTATTTAATAGGAGTTGGGTCAAACAAGTGAAATGGGGGGATTCGAGGAGGACGAGGATTCAATCATCCCACTTGATGGGTGAATAAGAATATTTAAAATTAATTTCTGAATCACTGAAAAACCGGATTCCCACGGCACATCTCATGCTATGTTTCAAGATCCGCAGGTAGCGTCTCTTGTCGGCTACACTAAACGGCATTGACATTCTAATAAATTAATAATGACACAACAGACCCATTATTAGGGGCACCGCCTCTTCACCAACCCCACGCAAACAGTCTTTATGCGCGTGTGTGTGAAACATGGAAATACCCTGTAATTTTTGTTGGCGTATTATTTACTCTTCCGATCTTTAATATAAGACCTATTTAACTAATTTGATCAGATTAAAAAATTTAGGTAAATTAGTTAATTATAAGAAATGTAACACATTTTTTCTAAAACATCATAATCAACTTTCTTAATATCCCATCTCCCTCTTTTTCTTGATTATGGTTGAGAGAGTATCTATAGGAGTAGTTTAGAAAAAATTTATAAATATGATAAATGAGTCTTATATTTAGGATCAAAACTAACTCAACAATTGAGTTTTATATTAAGGACTGAAAAAATACTATTTAGGGTTTGTTTGGTTGGAGGGGAGGGGAGGGAAAATGAGCCCCTCCCCTTATTTGGTTAAAAATTTTGGAGGGGAGGGGAGCTAAAATGTCCCTTCCCCTCCCCTCCCTCCCCTCCCTCTCCCCATTTTGGCTCCCCTCCAAATTGGGAGTTTTTGGAGGGGAGCCAAATTTTTAGACCATTATGTCCTTATAATTTTTTTAATATTCCACTTCTCTACCCATAAAATATATTATTAATATTTATTTCAAATAAAAAATATATTATCCTAAGTACAAAAATAAAAAATATATACATTATTATAATTAAAAATATATTATAAAAAATTATTTAAAAAATAAAAAATTATTTAAATAAAAAATTATAATATTATAAAATTAATTTTTTTATAAATATATTATTTATTAAATATATTTTAAAGATGGAAAAAAAGATAGCGTAAAGAGAATAAAATTTCATTTTTCTTAGAACATATAAAATTGTTAATTTGATTATTTTAAATATATTATTATATTAATAAGAATAAAAAATTACTGTATCAATTTTTTAATACACATATTAACATGATAGGACTGAATTTTTATTAAATTATATGATTTAAATTAAGATGTAAATTAATTTATATAATATATCAATAAAAACATAAATTAATATGTAAGGGTAAAATGATAAATTGATTATTACTATCCCTCCCCTCCCCTCCTTGAACTAAACAAGGGATCATTAAATATCCTCCCCTCCCCTCCTTTTTAATCAAACCAAACAAGGTGAGGATGAAATTTCCCCTTCCCTCCCCTACCCCTCCCTCCCCTCCCCTCCCCTCAAACCAAACAGGCCCTTAGGGTTGAAGCGTGTTCTCATGAAATATTTTGCCAGACACGTCCAATATTTTAAAGTATTTTATTATTCACTTAGTATTATAAAATATTTTTTCAAATACGTTTAATACTCTGAAGTATTTTGTGATGTGTCTAGTACCTTAAAGTATTTTTTCATATGTATTTAGCATCCTAAAAAATACTGAAAAAATAGTTTATCATACTTAATATAAATTCATTCAATGCACATTTTGAGAGGTTAATGATGAGATTAAAACTGTTTATGAAATCATACTTTAAAAGCACAATTGCTTTGGAAAAAAATTAATACTTTAAGAGGATACTGGATGCACCTGAAAAAATACTTTAGAGTGATGAATGCATTACAAAATATAATTTTAAGACGCTGAACGCACCTGACTAAATACTTTGAGGTGTTGGATACATCTTTATCCTATAATTTATGTGTTCATGTTAATTTAATAAATCTATAACACAACCTATTAGTATATAATGCATAATATTACCTCCGGTCTTAATTATAAGATTTTATTTATAATCTATAAACCAGATCTTATCATTAAAATCGGAAATAGTATTATAGTGCAATGTTTTGGATGTTATGCTCTTGCAGAGTTGTAAATCTTATACGAGTGTATCACAAGAAATAAAAAGGTAATATTCTTATTTAATAGGAGTTGAGGTCAAACAAGTGAAATGGGGGGATTCGAGGAGGACGAGGATTCAATCATCCCATTTGATGGGTGAATGTCAATATTTATAATTAATTTTTAAAATTACTAAAAAATCGGATTCCACGGCACATCGCATGCTATATTTCAAGATCCGCGGGGAGCGTCTCTTGTCGGCTACACTAAACGGCATTGACATTTTAACTTTATTTATTTATTTATTGATATGCTCCATCTAATAAATTAATAATGACACAAAAGGCCCACTGTTTGGTGCCCCCTGTCTTCCACCAACCCCACGTCAACAGTCTGCACTATATACATATATGTGCGCGCGCGCGTTTGTGTGTTACAGAAATACCCTGTAATTTTTGTTGGCATATAATTTACGGTTGAAGTGCATTCACCACCTGCAATATTATGTTAGATGTATCCAGTATTTCAAATATTTTATAGTTCATTCAGCACTTTGAAGTACTTTATTAGGTATGTCCAGTGCTTTGAAGTATTTTATAATGCATCTAGTACTCTTAAATACTCTTCTGGTCCTTAATATAGGATCCAATTGTTGAGTTAATTTTGTTTCTAAATATAAGACCCATATTTATTAATTTTTTCTAAATTACCTCTATGGGTATTCCCTCAACCATAATCAAGTAAAAGAGGGAGATGGGGTATTAAGAAAGATGATTATGGTATTTTAAGAAAAATGTGTCACTTTTTTTTTATAATTAACTAACTTACCTAACTTTTTTAATCTAACCAAATTAGTTAAATGAGTCTTATATTAAGAATCGGAGGAATATTTTTTTAGGCGCATCTAGCACCCTAAAAAATACTAAAAAATATTTTATGATACTTAATATACATTCATTTAACAGACATTTTGAGGAGTTAATGATGAAATAAAACTGTTTATGAAATAATATTTTAAAAGCACAACTACTTCTGAAAAAATTAATACTCTAAGAGTAAAATTATATCACAAAATATTTTAAGGCGTTGAATGCACCTAAAAGAATACTTCAGGATGATGAACGCACTACAAAATATTTTAAAACGCTAGATACATATGACTAAATACTTCAGGTTTACCTTATAATTCATGTGTTCATGTTAATTTAATAAACTACGACACAACCTATTAGTGCAAAATGGATAATTTTATGGCACAAAATAACGAATACACGATTCGACTTTTAGAAACGTCATACATGGACTTTCTGAGGTGAAAAAAAAAATTACACAAACGACTTTTCACTTTTAAAAATTTTCTAGAAGGGACTTTTGGTTTCCTAAATACTTAATACTCCGGCAGTCCTTAATATGGGATTTCATTAGAAAATTGATATTGGTCATATATGTAAGATCTATTTCAGATGTTTATCAATTTTTTGCAAATTAATCCTATTAATATTCCCCAATAATAATTAAGTAGGAGGAGGATTGAGAAGGATGTTTAGGATGTTTTAAAAAAATTATCATGTTAACTAATTTAACTAACATCATTAATCTACTTAAATTAGTTAATTAAGAGGGTGTTTGAATGTAAACCAAACCATGGTTTCAAAAGTGCTTTTACAGTTTACGAAATAAATATGTAGAGGAGTTTATCTCGTTTTGCGGAAAAGTGCTTCTCAGAAACACTTTTAAGCATTCCCAAACCCCCCCAGTCTTAAATATATTAAGAACTGGAGGACTATATATACACACATATACACATCTCCTCGTTCCTTTTAATAACTTTGAGCAAAACCTCCGAGAATGCCTAATGCAATCATACATAAATACTTCTTCGGTTTTTAATGTAAAATCTAATTAACTAATTTAAGTAGATTAGAAATATTAATTAAATTAGTTAATATGATATATTTTTTCTAATACACTCTAAGCTTTTTTGATAATTTTCTCCCTACCTCTTTTACTTGATTATTATTAGAAAATACCAATAGGATTCTTCACCCAAAAAAAAATCAATAAGATTAATTTAGAAAAAAATTAATAAACATGTGAGATAGGTCTTACACATAGAACTAATAATTATTTTTTAATTATGTTATACATTAAGGACTGGAGGACTATTACACACATACATTAGGCATAATATCAACAAAATATTATATGAGGTCACAAACTTGAGCCTGATGTTGATATACTACTTTTCATCCTTAATATAAGAATTAGTTTGATATTCAATTTGGTTATAACTGTAAGATCCTGATCTACTTTATCTTTCATTTATTCATTTTTTCTAAGATAGTTCTTGTAATAATTGCACATATTAAATGTTTTATCATACACATGATGAGTAAGGATATTTAAAATAAGATAACATATATTTATTATAAATACTTAATTTATTTAATATACTCAAATTAGTTAACTAACTTTATATTAAAGATTAGAGGTAGTATTTGTTTGTGTTCAAATAGTATATAAAATTAAAAACTAAAATACATTACCTTCACATTAGAAAACAATATTTTATTTTAAAATGATTTTCGTTTAGTTTTGTTTGTGTGTGTGTGAGAGAGAGAAAATTAACACAAGCCGCTCATCTATTTTAACATCGAACACAATATTTTAGTGCGATACAAAATTAATGCAAAACACAAAACTTAAGCAGGGAGATGCATGTTCCACGCGCGCACACACATTTTCACAAATCATAAGCCTCGCATCAAATCAAATTTATTTGTACAATGCGGTGTCCTTCCATCACTGTCCTTTCTGTTCATTTTCTGAAGAAGAAAGCAAAGTTGTCACCATCATTATATATAACATCTTCATAACTTTTCTTTACAAATCTACGAATCCGTTTCCCTTCCAATTTCATCAGGGTACACTTGCAACGCCTTTGCAAACAAAATGAAAACAATTACACAGGTCAGTTATAATTGTTTCATGAGAAATTAATTAAGGAAAATAAATATTAAAAGGAAAAAAACTTAGGTAGTCAAGTTTCTTAGAACCATTACATCCATTGTTCCAATCAGATTTTATCACTTGTCTTATTTTTCTGCATCAGCTTGGGATAAAATTAATGCTTATGAGAATGTGTGTGTGGTGTTTATAAAAATTATTGCATACACACATAGTGACAGAATTCAATTGAAACAAGAGATGTAATAGTTGTAAGGAATTTGACCAAAGTTTTGCGGATATTAAAATTGTGTGTAATATATACCTGTGCATGTGCATGTCGTCTTTCCTCTAATCTGAAGCTCACAGTTTTGTGCTTTACCTCTCCTCTACCAGTGGTGGCCTCGTCTAATATCTCATCATCACCCATTTCCCTTGATCCATTGCTTGCAAATTCCATTTCCTTCATCATAACAACCGCCCACAAAAGAAAATCACAATTTTTAAATTTATATAAGAAAATACTTCTCAATTCACCAAAAAAAAATTGACAAACAAGGTCTATTTAATAAATCATAGCGGTTTTTTTGTAATTGTTACTAATAATTTTATAGTGGGAAAGTTTGAGTTTTTAATATCAGCCTAATTAGACTTCACCTTACTTTTATCACTTGAACTTGAACTAGTCTCATATGGCAAAATTTAATGTAATTTTATAAGTTGATGAAATGCATGCTCAGCATATTAAGAGAAAATTATTAAAAATAATCCAGATAAACAGTGCAATTGATGAATAAGGGAAAAGACTAGAGAAGCATACGAAATCATGAGTGGAGTTAGTTACCCGGGAAGAGGGATGACGGAAGGAAAGGCCTGGTGTGCCAACAATTTCTTCATATTCAGCGGAATCGAGTTCCTTCAAATGGCGAGAATTGAACAGTTTTGGCAGTATAAACTGTCTTATTGGGATCATCAAGAAGAAGGGCAAAGGAAACAAGATTCCTGCTATGGGAATCCAAGTCACTCCAAAACAAACCAGCAGATAGACAAATTGGAACAGAGTGAAGTGTATTATGGCTCTGACTGGTACTGTCTCTAAAAAGGAAGCATGGTCCCCTTTCAACACTCTATATATCATCATTTCAACAACACAAAATGATCAGTCCGACAACGATTATCATCAATAATGATGTAAATTAGAACTGATTCATTATAGTTTCATCAGTTAAATTTTGGACTTACCTGTAGCGTCTGTTAGGGGCTGCAAAGATAAATACTATTCTTTCCCAGAACTGATTTCCAGGAAGACTATCAATAGCCATGTAAGCAAAGTACCCCCAAAGAACTGAAGTGGGTATCTTCTTGATCACAGGCATGGCAAACACAGATCCTCCTACAAGTATTGCTTGCAACAGATTGCTCACTCTTTGCTCGTTCACTCTGATGGGAAGATGTTCATCGATGTGTTTCTCAGGGTCAAATGGATCATTTTTCTCTTCTCCTTTCAGGACTGCTTCTTTTAGGTTCTCTAGTTCTTTCACAGCTGAACTCTGAAAGACAGAATAAAATAATCTTCTTACTCAGCATCAAGAAAGGGATGCGACTGACTTATAATTTAATGGGATCTGGCGATGATGATGGTGATGATAATAACTTACAATTGGGCTTTTGTCCATTTCTACAAACACTGCTTGCATGTTTCCATAGATCTCAGAATTGCTTGCATTGTGCTTTATGCTTTCTTTGGCACTTTCCACCATCTTCCTTCGAATCACCTATAACTCCAGATTTACCCATTCAAAATAAAAGCCAATATATATAGTCCAAATTGATAGGAATCTAGGAGGTAATTCTGTCCATTTACACGATACTGGCCAATTGGGAGAATTAAACCTCACCATTTTTATGGGGTTCTAGCTTATCATATTTTCTATTTTCAGGTTTTTATACTACTGTTGATAGAGAGCAGGATTGAGATCTCATCAACGCACCTGTTTCTTGAGAACAGCCAGGCTTTTGGTGTGCATGGGGGATTGAGGAAGAACTCCATTGGAAGGCGGCAAACCAACCAACCCACAAAGCAAAGTCTAAAAATTTCTTCATGGGATCAGTGACAAGATAGTTTCACAATCAAAACACGACTCTTGTATATTAATTAGAGAGAGAAACAAAGTGGCATATATACTACCATGAATCCCAGCAACATCACATCATAATGATAGGCCGAAGGCTTCTTCAGATTGAATTCCCTCTGTTGTGCCAATTGAGAAGCAACGCTATGATCGAAGAAGTAAAGACCTGCGATCATCAATGCAGGAATTATGGCACCAAAAATATATGCAGGTGGGACCTTCGCCATGTCCTGCGCCAAATATTAAATCAAATTATGTTTATTACTGAAAACATTATATTGCATGTATATATGCAACTTAATTTTGTTTAGGGGAAACATATATAGAATACATTGATAACACTCCAATGCTGTACAGAAGCAGACTCCCAAGCAAGGGGAGAAACAAGCCTTCTAGGAACTCCAGAGGGAAGTTTTCTTGGTACTGCATAGGACAGTGCTGCCCAGAGTATCACCATTAAGGGCACCCCGTAGTCTGCAAAGAAGCTTCTTGACTTGCCTGTACAAATTAAGTTCACTATGTGAGCTTCCAAGCTCATCCAAGGCTTTAATGGCTCGATCAAGTCATTATTTAGTGAAATATTATGAGCATAGCTTATACAAGAACACGTAACTATATATAGGGGTAGTTTGAAAAATAAATAAGAAATATGGGAGATAAAGTGGATGGAAGTCTTGTAAATAAAACAAAAACAAACTCCTCAATTTATTAACTCCTACATCTAATTGACATGCTCATCCGTGGCTGGTTTTGTTATAGCCAACGGGCTTATTTATCTGCTATCTGATGTTATACTATATGGTATGGAATATATCACCTGTGCCGTATAACGAAGATCTAGCCTTTTTGATCTTGAGAGAAGAAAAGAGGAGGCCAAAAGTGAATATAATTCCCAATAACCCATTTGCATAAAGCCAATGGAACTTGTTCTTCTCCAATTCCGGGTCTTCATCATGTTCAGGAACTTTAAACTCACTCACCATTCCCTGCGTTTTATTAGAAGAATCAAGTTCAAACTTTCGAACTCACTATAGTGATCTCCCATGTATGCCGAATTTTCTGTACATATATGCATCAAATTAGATTTACCTTAATGGCCTCTTGAATGAACAAGACTGTGATCAACATGCCAAAAAGCTCGTCAGCAATTCTGGTGAATTTATTAACAATAGCGCCGGCATTGAATATTGCTAAAAGTATCAACATCAAAGCCGCCCAAAGGCAGGTCCTGATGAAAAGTTCATAAAATCTCAATTCAAGAGACCCACCGATCAATATGTGTGTGTGTGTATGGTCGCAAATGCAACCTTGATTCAACTCCTCAGAGAATAGCCATTTAAAAGCTATATATGAAAAAAGTTGCATTGACATGGACAAATATTTGACTGCTACAAGCTCTACAATATAATCGACAGTATGTTCGACTTAAAATAAGTAAGGAACGCTCAACAGTTAACCGTTTTTGACAGTTATGCACCTTCAAGAAAGTTTCTTATGTTTTGCTTGGGTGAGAAGAGTAAATGAGAGAAGAGAAAAATAAAATTCTGTCCTCATGTTTCGATGAAAAGGAGGAGAATAAATAAAGGAATGGAAAAACACTCGCGATTAATAATACCCATGTAAACTTTTGGTATTTTCCTTGCAAACAATATATAGCCTACTATTTTGCCATCATCACAATAAATGCTGTTTATTCAACAATAAAGAAATATAAAGAATTTAAAAAAAAACACACAAAAAAGGCATGAAAACACACCCTGGAGGCTTCAACTTCTTGGGTCATTAATTTACAAACATAGATCGATCTCAACAAAATAATTATTATCCTCATCATTTTATTATTAAAAAAATTGAATTTTTAACCATGAAAATGAATTATGTTGGTGGTGCTAGCGCTTACCATCCAGCCCAAGGCAAAAAGAGTTGCCTTCCCAAGTCATTCCTATCTTTGGCGAAATTGTACATGTAAGCATACATGATGATGGTGGGTTCTGCAATCCCTACTATGAGCAAAGGTTGGCCTCCAATAATTGAGTGTATGATTCCACATATTGCAGTTGAGGCCAATGTTTCTACTGGGCTCAACATCCCATCTTCAGACAATCACCACCATATCTCACAAATTAATCAAAGACATGTCCAGTATATATATATAATAAATACTCTAAGGCATAGTGATGGAAACTACAAAGCACAATATAAATAATATACATCTAGATATTGAAAACGGGATTCATCAAGATTAAAATAATATAACTAAATTAAAATACACAAAAACGTTCATATATAACCCTCAATAGAGTAATATTTCAATAAAAAGATATCAATTCACACATAATGTAACAAAACAGAATTATTAAAGCACATATTTGAGAAAAGCTCAAAATGGTATCGTTTTAGGCTCAATAAAGGGAGAGGGGGGGGGAAATATAAATCCGACTTAGTTGAGCATTCCAAAACTCTTAATTATCAGATTGAGGAGACCGATTTAACGGTTCACTAGCTTGACCACTCTATTCAAGTTCGATTTTAATACTATTACATGGACACACAATCTATGAAATTTTAAAACAAGAAGATTAAATAGCACAACATTTTGAGTCCAAGAAATAGTTTTTGTCTTATATTATGCAGATTGGTCGAGGAAGAACCTGTGTCTCTATCAAGCTGTTCTCCAAAGGCTATAACGGGAAGAGCAGAAGCAAAGAAGATAAAGGCAGTTGGAGCCAATATCCTATTATCATCATAGAGAGAGAGGGAGGGAGAGAGATAAGTAAGAAATTTGAACCAAGAGGCATCATATATCTGTGTGTGTGCGCCCTTTGAAATATGAAGTAAGAAATTCTTAAAATACCCGATTCCTGAACGTAGACCAGAAATCCAATCATCCTTGTAACACTTTGCTCTTCCTCGAACATCATTAACTACGCCCTTCAAAGGTGTCTTCAAGCTCTCCATTAACAGATCAATAAGAGTTTTTAATGACTCAAATCAAAGGGGCTCTACAATAAGATTTGAAACTTTATATATATATAATATATATATATATATAATCTCACAATAGAGAGCAGATGAATTATTAAATGATGGGAAGGAAATATATAACTCAAGTAGCAGAGCGAAACGATACAAGTTCATACCTGAGAAATAGAAGTGCCTTATACATATATAATGCGCTTCAGGAGTTACCATTATATATGGAATTAAAAATTGTACGATGAAATTATACATAAGCATCTATCCCAGATTTTGCACCGATCAAATTGATTGACTACTTGACATTGTAATTGAATATTATATATCTCACCAATTAAATTATATGGTTTGGTTACCA